GAGAGAGAGAGAGAGAGAGAGAGAGAGAGAGAGAGACAGACAGAGCGAGAGAGAGAGAGAGAGAGGTTGAACAACAAACATGTTTGAAGTAGGAAAAACATAGAGAAGAGGAGGGAAACTCAGTCTTGTTATGAGGCGACTGGAGACGTTATGGAGAACAAACACACACAGACTCCAGCTGTAAGTCACCAGCTTCCTCTGTCACGTCCGATTGGTGTCTGTTTTTGTCTTTATTCGACTGTTCAAGAGCCTTATCAGTTGAGGACTACGTCTAATGTCAAAATACAGGAGTACTGTGGTGACTTTTTCATACACAGTACTGAATGATTAAATGTTGAACAGTAAACATGACTCTTGACTCATGCTTCTGTTTCTCACAGCACACACAACACTTGCTGCTGTCATTTACCGTGTTGTTTTCAGACTCTGTGTGTGAATATTTAATACTCTGTCCAGTAGGGGACAGCAGTGATTTAAACACGATCATCACCTCACAACACTCCTCTGATCTGACGTATGTATGTATAATATATTTTATGTATTATTTATTATAACTAGTATTTGTATTGTTATTATTCAGAAATGCATGACACAAATAGTAATATTTATTCATGTATTTAATACAAATTATATTTATTATATTATTATTTATATTAAATATTTGTAATAACTATTTATGTATTCAACAACAACAATTCTAATAAAAATACTAATAATTGTTATTATGCAAACCGATATTGCAATTATTTATTATTATTATTTATTTTATTATTTATTACATTTTAATATTATTGTTGTTATTATTATTCAAACTTGCATAACAAATAGTCATATTTATTTATGATTTAATAATAATAATAATAATAATAATTATTATTATTTATAATTAAATGTATTTAATAATAACAAATATTATTATTATTCAAACCTTTATAACATTATTTATTTATGCGTTAATGCTTTTTACGTATAATTTTATGTTTTATTAAAATTAATAGTTATTAATATTTTTGCTATTATTATTCAAACTTGCATGACACAAGTAGTAATATTTATGTACTTATTATAATAAGAGTAAGAATATAGTAATTGTTCTTGTTATTATTTGTGTGATTATGATGATGAGATGATGATTATTATTTATCAACAAAAATAATGATATCTATTTATATTATTCAACAACAATAATGTATTATTAATATTGGTATTCATGCCTGTATGACAATTGATTTTTATATATTTTTTTATTCATGTATTATTTGTTTAATAATTAAGAATTGTATTAAAATAATAATAATAACAATGTTATAAAAACATTATGTTTTGGACTGAGTCAGAGTATCTGACTGTCTGCATGTGTGACTCATATTTACAGGATACACAAAAACAAGCGTCCCATTGTAATATGAACTGACTTCTATTGCAACCGTGGTTTTCTTACATATATTTGCCAAAGTATGTTTATTGTTACAACTGTAAAGCTTTGCGATAAACACAGCTGTCATCAAAACAATATTTCAGAAAGCCTTTGTTACAGGGTGTCACACAGGAGGCGTTCCTGCACACGTCTGTGCTTTTTTACAGCTGTTTTTTGTAGGTAAATGACACCGGTTATGAGTCTGTAAGATTTTTTAAAAGAAATGTATGCTTTTATTCAGCAAAGATGAATAATAAATCAATCACGTCATAGACATTTATATGTTTTAAATAGTTTAAATGTTAAATATCTTTAAAAAAAATTAACTTAAATGATTTTAGCAAATGGCTGCAATATAACAAAGAGTGAAAAATTTAAGGGGGTCTGAATACTTTCCGTACCCACTGTATGTTTAATTAAAAATGACTAAAAACACATCTGTTCCATCTTTATTTGACCCTCTAACTCTAGCACTTTCTATTCTATTTAATTCTACTTTATCTATTTATCTTCTTTTTTTATTTAAAAAAAACACTAGCTTTCAATTTTTTTTTTATTCTATCTACTTGTGTGTGTGTATAAAATACCTTGCTATAGGGATGCACCAATACCACTTTTTCCTGTAATCGCCCGATACCGATACTTTTATTTTTGGTACTTGCCGATACCGAGTACCGATACCAATATTTTTATTGCATTTGTAAATTGTATGCCCATTAAAATTTATTTTACACGTTTTTGTTACTTTCACTGTTAGTTTTTTTGCTCTATGGTACATCATCTTTAATTTAATAGCATTAGAGCTGCTCCATTGCAGCGGCTCAGTACTGTAATCACGTGCTTTGCTGTAATAATGCAGGGAATCACTCGTTATAAATCTCCTAATTGTGATATTTTCAGAAATAGAAGTCGTGTTTTTTCATCTGAAACGTGCTGCGATTTATATTCCAAAGCCACTCCTATAAATAATGCAGAAACACTCATGAAGCAAGCAAAACACGCGCAACGCCTGCACGTATTTGTAATGGCGCAGAATGAGAGGGACAAGTCGTACAGCCTAGCGCATTTCACACAGGCTGCTAGATTCACTTTCGCCAGAAAGTCGTGTATGCCTATGGCAGGGGCGTGTCTACGTGGTGGCCAGGGGTGGCACCGGCCTCCCTGAAATTTGGCTGGCCACCCCAGGTGCCCCCCTTACCAGATGTCTTGCCATAGGCTTGTTTTTAGTAAATTTCAAAGTTTAGGCGGCTTCTATAGTGTGATCTTAATGACAATGTCGAGAGCGCATAATGTTACGCGATCCATGTGCGCGAGGACGAATCTCTCCACTCCCAAGCGGATTTCCTTCACTCACACAAAACTGGACGTGTGCTTTTAAAATGCGTCGCCCCCCCCCCCCCCCCCCCGGCCACCCTCTTTTGAGCCAGTGCCCACGACTGGCCCCCCCATTTAAAATGCTCTAGACACGCCCCTGGCCTACGGTTGAAAATAAATTGTTTCTAGTGAATGCCCCTACAAATGGTCTTATTTTTACGATTTAATTTTAATCCAAATGATGCGTGTGCTAAGTGAGTGAACATCAAAGATCACACAACAGAAGTGCGCTCTCTCTCTCTCTCTCTCTCTCTAGCTCTCTCTCTCTCTCTACCGTTAAGTAACTTGTGCATTGTTTTACTTACTTGTTTTTGACATATCCAACCGAACTACAAGCTTTCTAGTGATGTCTATGAGAAAGATATATTCACTCGACAAGCTCACGCATCTGAACCGCCGCGCGCTCAATCCACTCAGCGTGCTTTGCTTATCAGCTGGCGCACATCAGCTATACAGGCGTTAATACTGAATGTTTAACATTATATTCATTGCATACATATACTTCGTAGTAGACATCCTTAACTCCATTCTGCTGTCTGTTGTTCTGTTGTAGGTGTTTCTTTGTCTGAATATGGAGCTTATCACATGTTGTGTGGTATTGGTGTTTGGTATCGGGGCATTTTAACAAGTACGAGTACATGAGCTCAGTATCGGGCCCGATACCAGTATCGGTATCGGTGCATCCCTACTTGTCATTTGCACTTACATATTGTTGCTCTTTTGTTAGTTTTAATTGCTTCTGTTGTCCTTGTGCTTTGGATAAATGCGTCTGCTAAGTGACTAAATGTAATTGTAAGAATGTAAATGTAATTGGACAAATTAAAACACAAAAACACTGTTAATTCATGTATTCAAATGTGGTTAATCATTATGCATATTTGAATATGAAAATGTTATTGCATTTTAAAACTTGAATTAAATGAACAGTTTTAAATATGTTGGTTAATTTGTCCACTTAAAAGTGTTTTATTTCCGTTTATATGTTTGCATAATTAAATAGATCACTTCTTCCTTCACTTTTATTTTTAAGTGTCACTACTCTTAAGGAACTGTAAAGTGCTCGGATCCTGATTCTGCTGAGGAAGACGTCTCGGTGTAGTTTGCTGAATCACGTCACCTGACTGTCTGTGTTTGTCTTCTCAGGGTATTGTGTTGCTAAATGGAGTCTGAGCAGCTGTTCAACAAAGGCTACGGCAGAAACAGCTACAACAGCATCACCAGCGCCAGCAGCGACGAAGAGCTCCTCGATGGTGCCGGCGTCATCATGGACTTCCACACCACGGAGGACGACAACCTGCTCGACGGGGACGCGTCTCCAGGTACAGCAGGCCCACATCTGATGCTCCTGAGCCTGCTCCTCACTTACGAGCCTTAATTATGATTTGAGGTGCTTTCAAGTGGTTTGCTGCCTTTTAGCACTAATACGCATTTTTGCGCTAATACAAGAACCCCTTTGACCGAAAATATTCCCTTGATGTACTTCCTGAGATTTTACATTGATATTTTAATAATTTAACAACACATTCACATTTTCGTGATTGTTCTTTGATGTTGGTTAATGGTCACATGACATGCAGGTAAACAAAAAAATATATTTAATTTTTTTAATAAGTAATGTTTAGTAATATTTAATACATTGAATATAATGAATATTTTTATATTAATATATTTATATATTTTTAAAAAAATGCTAAATCTACAATAAGATTACATTAGTTAACTGCATAAGTTAACATGAACTAACAATGAAGAATGCAGGTAAACAAAGAAATGAATATTTTTTTATTATATTCAGTATTTAGTCATATTCAATAATAATACATATTAAATAGAATTATTATATTTGTAATGTTTTTATATGAATATTTGTAATTTGTCAATATTTTATATTTATAAAATACATTTAATTAATTAATTTGTACATGTATTATTATTTTTTTATGTAAAATATATATTTTTAATATTTAACATTTTTATAATTTTGTAAGAGTTTTAGCTTAATTGTTTTAATTTTTTTTATATTTATTTATATTTTCAGTTTTATGATTTATTTAATTGTCATTTCAAGTCAAATCACCTTTATTTCTATAGCACTTTATTCAATACAGACTGTTCCAAAGCGGCTTTACTGTGATAAACAAGACAATCGCGATTCATCGATGTATAAGACAAATCTAATAAACTCTAATAAGACAAATGTAGACAGTCATTATTCGGTTGAAATCAGATTATTGTTGATTCAGTTCAGTTCAATAACTATAAAGTCATTGGCTTTCTCTCATCTACTCACAAATCCCAGTTTGGGAAACCCTAATGAAAAAAATATCACCGCATATTGTAATCGTTCATCAAAATGTAATAACCAGCTGTGCCTCTGAAACGACTCGTTTTTAAGCCCCTCCTCTCTGGCCGTCTGCCTTCATGATCCAGTCATTTTTTTTTCATGTTAAATATTCTGTTTCACCCCATATTGAAAGTTAATGGAACGCAAATGCAGTTTCATAATAAACCAGATGAGTAAAGTTTGAGATCAAACTTTGAAGTTGGCTCGAAAAAGCCTAGCATTTGAAGCAGTTGTAAAAGCTAGCATTATTTAACACATTGTTAACAAGACTTAACATGTTTGCTAGCATTTTTTGCATGTTTTAAGCATGTTTTACCATGATTAGCATGTTGCTAACATGTTTCTGACATGATTATCATGCTGTTAACATGTTTCTAGTAGGATTAGCATGTTGCTAGCATGTTTCTAAGATTGTTAACATGTGACTAACATGTTTCTATCATGATTAGCATATTGCTAGCATAATGATAACATGTCTTTACCATGATTAGCATGTTGATAACATGTTTCTAACATGATTAGCATGTTGCTAGTATGTTGCTACCATGTTTTAGCATGTTGCTAGCTTGTTTTAGCATTATTAACATGTTGTTACCATGATTACCATGTTGTTAGCATTATGCTAGCATGTTTTAACACAAGAAGCATGTTGTTACCATGTTTCTATCATGATTAAAATGTTTGTAACATGTTTCTAACATAATTAACATTGCTAGCATGTTGCTAACATGTTTCCAGCATATTTCTAACATGATTAGTATGTTGCTAGCATGTTTCTATCATAAGCATGTTTTTAACGTTGCCAGCTTGTTTCTAGCATGATTAGCATGTTTCTAACATGTTTCTAACATAATTATCATGTTGTTAGCATGCTGCTAGCATGTTTCTAACATGATTAACATGTTGCTAGCATGCTGTTAGCATGTTTTATCATGATTAACATGTTGTTAGCACATTGTTAACATGGTCCTAGCACGTTGCTGGCATGTTCTTAGCATGTTCCTAGCATGTTTTACCATGATCAGCATGTTTTTGACATATTTCTAGCATTATTCACATTTTTAACATGTTTCTAACATAATGTGTTGCTTACATGTTACCAGCATGTTTCTAACATGATTAGCATGTTGCTAGTATGTTGTTATCATTTTTTTTAGCATGATTAGCATGTTGTTAACATATTGTTAACATGTTCTTAGCATGTTGTTAGCATATTGCTAGCATGATTAGCATGTTTCTAGCATGATTAACATTTTTCTATCATGATTTAACATATTTTGCTAACATGAATGAAAAAACAAATCCAGCTAAAAACCAAGTAAAACATGCTTATTTAGGGGAAAAACACTTAAAACCAGCTAAAACCAACAGGTTCAGTGAAAATCCAGCTGAAAAAACAGTTAAAACCAGCTGATTTAGCTGAATATCCAAAACCAGATCATTTAGCAAAAGCAGTTAAAAATAGCTGATTTATCTATAAACCAGCTCAAACCAGCCTAGGCTGGTTGTCTAGTCTTAGCTGGTTTAAGATGAAAATAGCTGGTTTAAGGTGTGTTAGACTTTTAGCAGGTCTCCCAGCTTGACCAGCTAAAAAGGCCAGCTAAAGCAGCCTACCAGCTTAGGCTGGTTTTAGCTCATTGTACAAAAGTTTTTATTTCTTTGGTGGTCTTGATAGTCTGGTTTAGGAAAACCCGTAAGGCGGATCAGTTATAAAAGATATAGCAACCCGAGTCAGACCAGTCTGAAGTCTGCAAACTTTAGGAGGAGATACTTTTTCAAATGTAGTCTCAGAAGAAGAAGAGGCTTAAATAGCAGATCAGTAAGTTGGGTTTCTCAAGCAAAGCTGAATGTTGTCTGCAGCAGTGTGTCCAGCGTGACAGTATGTGAAATGCTGCGTGAATGAACCACTGCTCAGGTTGAGCTCACCAAAGCTGCATTTATTTGATCAAAAATACAGTTAAAATCTGTAAAGTTGTGAAATATTATTAACATTAACATTACACGTTAATTTGTTCATGTCCCGTTTATACACATTTGACAGTAAAGCACTGAGCTTGAGTTGGGAAGCATACAAAATGTACTTTTATTAACGACAGTAACGAGTGCAAAATCTAATTTTATATAGAAAATGTATATATTCTACTCTTATTAAATGTACCATTATTCTTCTATAGTACTATACTGAACTGACCGACAACTTCAGCGATTATAAAAGGAACGCTCTTTGTGTGTGATTCAGTCGCAAACCGAAGATTTCTAGCATTATTCACATTTTTAACATGTTTCTAACATAATGTGTTGCTTACATGTTACCAGCATGTTTCTAACATGATTAGCATGTTGCTAGTATGTTGTTATCATTTTTTTTAGCATGATTAGCATGTTGTTAACATATTGTTAACATGTTCTTAGCATGTTGTTAGCATATTGCTAGCATGATTAGCATGTTTCTAGCATGATTAACATTTTTCTATCATGATTTAACATATTTTGCTAACATGAATGAAAAAACAAATCCAGCTAAAAACCAAGTAAAACATGCTTATTTAGGGGAAAAACACTTAAAACCAGCTAAAACCAACAGGTTCAGTGAAAATCCAGCTGAAAAAACAGTTAAAACCAGCTGATTTAGCTGAATATCCAAAACCAGATCATTTAGCAAAAGCAGTTAAAAATAGCTGATTTATCTATAAACCAGCTCAAACCAGCCTAGGCTGGTTGTCTAGTCTTAGCTGGTTTAAGATGAAAATAGCTGGTTTAAGGTGTGTTAGACTTTTAGCAGGTCTCCCAGCTTGACCAGCTAAAAAGGCCAGCTAAAGCAGCCTACCAGCTTAGGCTGGTTTTAGCTCATTGTACAAAAGTTTTTATTTCTTTGGTGGTCTTGATAGTCTGGTTTAGGAAAACCCGTAAGGCGGATCAGTTATAAAAGATATAGCAACCCGAGTCAGACCAGTCTGAAGTCTGCAAACTTTAGGAGGAGATACTTTTTCAAATGTAGTCTCAGAAGAAGAAGAGGCTTAAATAGCAGATCAGTAAGTTGGGTTTCTCAAGCAAAGCTGAATGTTGTCTGCAGCAGTGTGTCCAGCGTGACAGTATGTGAAATGCTGCGTGAATGAACCACTGCTCAGGTTGAGCTCACCAAAGCTGCATTTATTTGATCAAAAATACAGTTAAAATCTGTAAAGTTGTGAAATATTATTAACATTAACATTACACGTTAATTTGTTCATGTCCCGTTTATACACATTTGACAGTAAAGCACTGAGCTTGAGTTGGGAAGCATACAGAATGTACTTTTATTAACGACAGTAACGAGTGCAAAATCTAATTTTATATAGAAAATGTATATATTCTACTCTTATTAAATGTACCATTATTCTTCTATAGTACTATACTGAACTGACCGACAACTTCAGCGATTATAAAAGGAACGCTCTTTGTGTGTGATTCAGTCGCAAACCGAAGAAAAGTTAGTTTTTCAAGGCACTTTGTGACTTTTCTTACTTCATATGAAAACATATGAAGGATTTCTTGATGATTTGATATTTTATAATAGTGATTTTATGATGTCAAAATATAAAGCCAGAAGTGGAAATGAATGACTAATCAGCCATTAAGTGCTCCTCTGCTGCCATCGACTGGTTACAGTGATAATTTGATGTCTGTTTTTTTTATTTTACAGAAGTGTTTGTTTACCACAAAGCATATTTTGCTCATTCCATTAAAAATAACATTCAAATTGGATCATTTTTAGAGCTTCCAAGTGCTAGTCGAAAAATCTTGTCACACCGGCAGAAAAAATGGTCGCAGTCTGGAGCCCTGATTTCTTTCAGACGGTAGTGCACTGGGGTCACTTTTCTGAATTTGCATTGACTCGTTGGACACAAACGCACTGCTGTTGGGTTTCTCACAGAGCTTCTTCTGTGAGTGTGTCATTATTATCGCAGTGGGATGAAAACATGCCTAAAACAAGAG